CTAACGTTTGCGCCTCTGCCTTTCTTCACAGCCAGGCAGGCCAAAAAAAACCAATATTGTATGGCTAGATTAGTGAGGGTTTAATACCCCTGTCAGGTGTCCCCATTGGTGAGATTCTCTCTCTAATTGTAATGAACACCAATGTCACCAGGAATGAAAGTGAGGGTAAATCCAACATTCTGAGTTGCCACCAGAACAGGAAACGAGGGGAAATCTTCCAATGGGGACAATGGTTCCTGTGAGAACTTCCAATTGGAGATTTCCCTCTCATTAGAAAGTTATCCTCTTACTTCCTGTTGAGTCTCCAGGGCAGGAAGTGTAGGGAAATCTTCTTAAGGAGTCACATGGCAAAATAAAACAAAAACCGCAAACAGCAGCAGTTTGAATCCTCCCCTACTATATTATGAAAAACAAAGTTCTGGCTTTAGATATATACTTTACCCAGATAATATTAATTCAGTCTGTCCAATCCAGCTGTAAATCTTATGGAGCTTTTCCTACCTGGATCCTAGAATTTATCCAGCCCTACTTTACCCCCTGTATTTAGCTGTTTGCCCAAAGTTCTGCTTCAAAACACATAAACATGAGAAGCAACTAGAAGCAAAGTAGACTTGTGTTTCAAATTCATGTTACATTATTGAGTAAAAACAAAACTATCTCCCTTTTGTAAAAAAAAAAAAAAGCTTCCAAGCTCCTTTTATGTGATTTACAGCCTGGGCACCATATATTGCAAGGACTCTGCTATTATATTTTGTAAGTATCGCATTGTAGAAGTACCATTGCATTGTATAAGAATGCACTGTGGGCATTCTTTAACATCTTAAGGAATTTGGGTGTAGCATTTATGATCAGCCTTAATTTTAAGCTGCTGGAGACTGCTCTGTCCCTTCTGATCTTGTACTGGACAGGAAGTTCTGGGATGTGGAGCTGAGAGAGTTGTAGCCGTTTCAAAACAGGATGACTGTAAGCGTTTGGGCAAAAATGTAAAGAAATACTTTGCTGAGCAACGTTTATTTGTTTCATCTGGATTCATTTTGAAAAAAAGCTTGAGAGTTTATTACTACTTTAATAAGAGGGGAGGTGGCATTTAAAGAGTTAAACAAAAACATGACATTCTACTTGATATAAACAAGATTCTGAGTAGTAAATAACTATATCAAGTGACTGCAACAGCAGCCCAAAACACATAACCAAGTGATCAGAACAGTACAATACATGACAATATTATAGTTTTTTGTATATTCTACTGATACATTTAAGTCCAGAAAGTGCATCACAGATTGCAGTGCTGTCAATGGATGTAACACAATTACTCTGCAGGTACTCGGGTTCACTCCAAGCTATAATAAAGCTTGTACATTAATTGCCCTGTCCCATAGATCTTACACCAGGAACTGCACACCCACTAGGTGACACTCGGGTTGATCAGACACAGAATGAACTATACTCACCATTCTACTTAGAAGTCAGTACATTGGAATGGATCGGGATCAGCTGTCAGCCCCACATTTCTGTACACCAGCAGCAAGCTTCCGGCAGCACGCCTCCCTCCCTTCCTCACTGCCTGTTGCTCTCCCAGCCGAGCCTCCAGTCTGGGCACGCCTACAGTACAGTATTTTTTTGTCCTCTTTTTTTTTTAAACAAACTTTATTAACATGAGATCAGCACAGCAGAGGAGATGATCGAAGAATTAAGCATGCATTACTACAATGGAATATCAGCCTACACATGCAACAGCTGAGCAGAATTTTCTGTCTCTGTATATTTATAGTGATTTAGTACTGGGCAGGTTGCATTTTAACTTCTACTGCGGAAGTAGTCAACCTCGGCAGTCCAGCTGTGGGGAAACTACAAATGCCACAATGCCTCTGTCGCTGAGAGCCAAGCCTGTGTCTGTCAGAGACTTGCAATGCTTCATGGGACTTGTAGTTCCACAAATAGCTGGAGAGCCAAGGTTACCTGATAAAAAAATTGTATCTGTAGCATGAGGTAAGAAACAACCAAAAACATTAGGAGTTCATGTCCTGCAGTTCTTTTCTATGCAAAATTGGCCTCTTGTATCCTTGGGTCACACCTGTACATGTGTGACAGCAAATGCGCATTTTACGCACGTTATGTCCTGGAAGCCAATTCATTTCAGTGGGCTGCCAAATGTGCGACAGTCACACCAAGGAAGTGCATGCGCATTTGAAAAAAAAAATGCGTTTCACGAAACGTTACTTTTTGTACGGTGCATTTTAGCAATCTACAATGCATGTGCGTTGGCAGGCATGTTTGGGATGAATCCAACCACAGTGCATCTACAAAAGGACACATTTTCGAGGGCTACGGGTGTCCCCAGCACACAAGTGTGAGTGGGGGCTTGCTAGAGTTGCCAACTTTTCTTCAAGCAAAACCCGAACACATTTAAGCGACGTGCATACTTTTTTCGGGGAAAATGAGTTGTGGCTTATTCATATGTAAATAGCTCCCCCCTTTAATATGTAAATATCACAGTTGATACTTTTTTCAGTGGGGGGAGGGTCAGTAGCCCCTATCTTAATTTTGGTTGCCCCTGTGTGTCTGACATCTTGTGTCCGGGTTTCAGTTGCCATGAAACCCGAACACAGCATTCAAAACCCGAACTGTCCGGGTGAATCCTGGACAGGTGGCAACCCTACCTGGACATGGGGAAAGATACATGTCACCGCACCAAAGCGCTATAACTGTAGATGATGCGGGCTTATGTGCAAAATTGCACAAAAATGTAAATACGATGTAAACAACTAAATGTGAAAAAAATGCCAACCACCGCCAACCAAAGCAGGAAGTGGCCTCGGAACAAAGGAAGTGACGTAACGTCGCCTCTTCCGCTCCCGTAACCTCGCCTCCTCCGAAGCTGGGAACTCGGAGAGGAAAATGGCCGCTGTGGATTCAGAGCTGCGCGAGCCAGTGTTTTTTGAGCCGTGTTCACCGTCCTCCACGGCTTTATGTGTGTAGCGCTGTCCAGGGTTCTCCACAATCCATATTCCCCGTTCACCTGTACACGAGGGGGCGGCACACCGTATAAAGGCGCCTTTCTCTAGGTGTCCTGACCCCTGACAGAGGAATATGGTGCTGAGACGTGCAGTAGTGTCTCACAGCTGCCCACACCTGTTACTGATGTGTGGGAGTAGTACCAGGTCACTTTATCATGTGCTAGGATGGTCTTAGGCCTCATTCATACAGGCAGTGGCCAATGTGCCTTTATATGTGAAAACATGTGTAAATGTATAGAATGATTTTTACAATTGTGTGAGTGTATGTGTGTTAAGGGGCTAAACTATATATGACTTTTTGTTTAAAAAGATGCCACACCAAAAGCACATCGGGAGAAATTTATCGAAACTGGAGCAGACACATTCTGGAGCAGTTGCCCATGTCAACCAAATCAGCTTCTTTCTCCAGTTTGTTCCGTTAAGATTTGAAAATGCACAGCTGCTCCAGATTTTGTCTGCTCCAGTTTTTATGAATTCCCCTCATCATACTTTGCCACCATGGGTTTTGTTGCAATTGCACACACATGACAGTGTGTGGCACGTTCCATTGCACTGCAGGGCCACTTACAAAGTAATAAACTTTTTGGGGCGCTGCATGAGTGTGGGGTAATCGCACATCTTTGTGCATGATGCCGCAGCACATAGATGTGGATGGAGGAATCTGTTCTATTTATTTTTGTTCAGCCTGTGGGTTAAACTAAAAAAAATAGAACTGTGTACCATACACTGTTAGAATGTCAGCCGCCTCACTGAAAACGCCAGAAATTCTTACTGTGGCTCTGCCAGCTCGAGAAAAGTTTACTACTGAGTTGACTTCCTTTTTTTGTGAAGGGCCTGGGCTGAATATTTTTGGCTAATTGACTGCAGTCACTGTTCATGTACTCTGACAATGCCGGGTGCTGGCTGTCAGAGTACAATAGTCACAGTAGTAGATTTGTCCATCCACGTTGTTTATCATTAATTAAAGAAATCTTAGCCCCCTTTGTGATAGCACATTGGAGGTGACAGGTTCTCTTTAAAGTGACATTAGGGGTCTTTTAGACCACTAGTGTCACCTTTCCACTTCACTGGGGAATGACAGCTGCCTGCTGAGGCAGCTGAATGTCAACACAGCAGGCGGTGGCTCAGAGCAATAGCCAGCCTGCTATTGTAAGTTGCAATAGCCAATAGCAGGCTGGCTATTGCACCTGCCTGCTGTCAATCAGCAGAGAAAGTTCTCCTTCCGGTCCTCCTCTGCTGATTGACAGCAGGCAGTGGACGGGTGCAAAAGCCAGCCTGCTATTGGAATTTAAAATGGCCAATAGGAGGCTGGCTATTGTTTCTAGCCACTGATGGGAAACTTGACACCAGCTTTCTACTGCCGAGAAAAGAGGGGTCAGCGGAGGCATGGGGGCCAGCGGAGGCATGGGGGGCACCAGCCGGGGAATGAAGAGGCACAGTGGCCTCTTTTCCTTTCTAGTGCTGGCTGCAGTGATCTGTGTCCCCGCTGCCTCTACCGATACAGGCGGGGATTGAAAGGGACACAGACGGCTGCAGCCAGCACCGGCGGGGAGGGGAACGGAGGAGCAGAGTGGCAGCGGCTGCGGATTCAACTAATCAAACCAACTAATCGATCAGTTGTTGCAGCCCTAAGAAAAGTAATACTTTACATATAATATATGGCCCCAGTCACATCTGTGCGATTTAACCTGCATCGGTTGAAGTGCGGCAATGCGTGACAAGAGGATCACAATTATTTTTTATAGGTTCCATTCATACCTGTGTGTTGCCCGCCGTGTGTCTGGAGATAGTAGTACAGGTGGTTTTTTTGGCGCATCAGTGCGTGTTTTTGGTCCCATAGACATCAATGACAGTGTGAAAAGCATGTATAAAACACATAGTAAAATGCAGAGGCAAAGATGTGAACCTAGACTTGGGTTACTACACTCAATAGCCACTCATTTAGTGTAGCTATACCTCTGTAATGAGAGGCAACTAATACATGAACTCTAGGGGCAAGTCAAAATTCTGTTTCCTTGCATGACAATAGCAAATGTAAACAAAACGGATCCCAAGGGCACAGATTATGCAGACATGCTTTAGGGGTGTAAAGGCCAAAAGTAGCATGGTTCATGAGGCCACCATATGTTGTGTGATGTGAAATAATACAGTATACTTGATGTAGTAACCCCCCCCCAAAGCAATAGCATCTGCATTTGTATACAATGTGTGGGTTTAGTAGAGAGCAGAACTGAAGCAACACAGTAAAACTTGTTCAAACCTGTGCTAACATTGTAATCTGTAGCAATCAGGCGTCCTCTTACTGCTGTCCCATCACTGAAAGCTGATTCCTGATTAGCGGATATGGAGATCTTCATTTTAAGCATTACTCTTTATCATATTTGATCCTTTCTCTCTTCTTACATCCTCACTGATTCAGCAGATTCATGCCTAGTGGTGGGAAATATGATTTGCAGTTGCTTCCTAATGCATGTATTTTTCATACAATACTGCAATTCCTGTATCAGTGGTATAAAAACACACAAAAGGTCTCACTTATATTTTAAGTGGCGTTAGAAGCTGTCACCATGTGGCAAGCTGCATTCAATCATTTATCCTACATTCAGAACAAAAGAGAACGGACGCTTTGTCCTCATGAAGTATGTAAGGGCTCATGCACACGGTTGTAATTAAATACTTATTTCTATGCCGGGTTTTGCAGCCAGAAGTATCCAACATGAAAAAGGAGTGTAATGGTGCATAAAGTATTCGCTTTTTAGAAGCGTTTGCATGTAAATTCATTCTACTGGCTAAAATGTATTATTTTTTAGACCTTTTATTTATTTCAGGTATTTATATAGCGGTGACAATTTACGCAGTGCTTTACATAGTTGCGCATTCAAAGCTCCTGCCCTCAAGGAGCTTACAGTCTAAGGTTCCTATCATACATGCATACTGGGCCAATTTAGACAGTCCGTGGAGTGTAGGAGGAAAGCGGAGTACCTGGAGGGAACCCACCCAAGTACAGGGAGAACATGCAATAGGATAGTGACAAGGCTGAGATTGAAACCGGTACCCCACTACGTGCGCACGCCTGTACATTATGCCAAATGCAGATTTGAGGCATTTTTTTTTTTCTGAACAGTTCTTTACACCAGTGGTTTTCAATATGTGTAACCTCAGGACCCACATTTGTCCTTGGTCATTAAGTCGCGACCCAAGTCACACTGCAATGGAACGCACGGCATTGCAGTACCCAGGCTCCCACACCAGAACATCCAGTAGGTGCGATTGCGTGGTGCAGTGCACTAGGCTGGGTTCACACCTAGGTGTATCGAATATGCGCATTTGTCACGCATTTTTGCTGCAATTTGCGATAAAAACCGTGCAACAAACGCACGTTTCCGAGGGCTACCTGGCTTGGTATCACAACCCACCAGTTGAGAACCAAGGCTTTAGATTAAGGATCTTAACACTACAATCTGTATGGTCATGTTTGCTGTTTGAGCTGCGTTCAGAGGCAAAAAAAACACTGTACAGATCTTAAAGCGAAGATTTTTCAGGTCCGTGTTCATTAAACCTAATAGCTTTGTTATTAAAAAAATCTTTTTAAAATGTACTCAGAAAAGTGAAGCAATCAGTTACTTGTAAAATTTCCAGTTGACACAATCAGGCCAGATTCATGGACTATTCACTCGTATCGGGATCCCAACTACAGCCCGCGATATATAATATGGCTAGTGTGTTTCTGGGGCCAGTCGCCTGATGCACTGATGAAGGGGATGTGCTTCCAGAAATACCATGTTTGTTTGCTCTGATCTTCATAAGTCAGTCCCATTGTATTTGTTGTTTGCTTCTGGAAGGTGATCATGTGTTGTGTACTTGACTCTATTGTCCCAGAAGTTGCATGTAACACGTTTTTTATATAGTTTTTAAAATGTCATATGTATGCATGGGGCACAATAATATAGAAAATAACACAACAGTAACAGAGTTAATGTAAATAGAGTATTACGCTAGGGTTTATACTACTTTATTGTCACTTTGTTATACAACAAATAATGTTTTATAGTGAGAAGACGTGGAATTGGGATTTCCTCAGTTTTGGGCCAATTCTTACATTTGCACATGTTAACACGTGGGGTTTGTTGTGTTGTATTAAGGAATCCCATTAATGTTGAGCCTCAGCTCATAAAATAATGCACCTGCACTACATTTGGTCAGCGTTGGATACCGCCACGCTTTGTGATGTGCTGATGTGCTGTATAGCAGGTGCTTTTTATTTTGTGTGTGTGTATCCCACCTTCGTATTTAAGTGTAGGTGTAGACTTTAAAAAAAAATTTTTGGGATAGTGTAGAGCAGGATTAAAACCCCTCTGCGTTTATTATTTGTGGTCTGTGTCTTCCAGACGCAACAAGTAAGAAGACAAGTAAGAAGAAATCTCCACAAAGTGATGGGAATTTCCCTCTTTAAAAGTTGTCACTGAAATAGGTGTCCCCAGTGGAAGATTTAGCCTTCCCGTTCTGATGACCACTAAATGACTACTGGGGCAACTTTTGAGGCTGAATCTACTTAGGACACAGACAGTAAAAAAAAAAACAACAAAAAAAAACCCCACGACGGATATTCTAATCCTTCCCCACTCTGTAAAAACTGCAAAAAGTTTAGGCTCACATAAACATATATTTTATGTAAACAGTTGACCAGAGAATGACTGGTACAGTTGTAGAGTTCTCATAGACGTGCGTTTTATTTCCTAGCCGCAAGCGACTGATTTCTTTGGGTGCCCAAAACTTGAGTATAGTTAGCTATAGGTATTGGCTGGCATGTGAGCAGTGTAAAGCTACCCATAGACATGGGACAGGCTTATGGGGAGGGGAAAACATTTAGGTCACTTGCTCATCAGGGCAAAACAGCCATTATATGACTGAGCTTTCTAAACGGTTAACTCATTATTTCCCATGATAGATGACAGCCCACACTGAAATGATGCAACCAGGTTGACAACCCTTTAAACCCCGATTGCCATTGGATTCCTTATTTGTATTATAATCCATATCCCTTTTCTGTTTTAACAAGTTCCCTTAATTTTTTTGCATGTTTATGCAAAAAATCATATCATTGAATTATTATTATTTTTTTTAGAGCTTTAAGTTGTAAAAGTCAAACTTTTTGTTTTTTAAGCTTTTATCTTAACCAAAAATGAAGTCACTTATGTAGCTGTATTGTAACTGAGATGTGTTGATCTTATTTACAGCATGGAAGATGGTGACACATCTGTGAGGAGCATTGATGAAAATGGTGAAGTCTCAGCAGAAGAGCAGCCTCAGATCAAGCACAATAAACACAAGAAAAAGAAACACAAGCATCGGAGTAAACATAAAAAACACAAACATGTTGCTGAAGAGGACAAAGATAAAAAACACAAGCATAAACATAAGCATAAGAAGCATAAACGGAAAGATGATGATGACAAAGATGACATTACACACTTAAAGAGGGCAAAGCTGGATGACTTTGCATTGTTGGAAGATCTTGAAAAGCAAAGAGCCTTGATTAAAGCAGAGCTTGATAATGAGTTAATGGAGGGTAAAGTCCATTCTGGCATGGGCTTGATATTGCAGGGGTACAATTCAGGGTCAGAAGAAGAAGGGGAGATTAACGAAAAAATTCGCAATGGCAAAAGAGCCTCCACCAAATCAAATATAAGAGCAAAACAGGAGTTTTACTCTAAAAATACTTCTAAAAGGAGGTCTAGGAGCAAGTCCAAAGAAAAGACCAAGCACAAGACAGAAAAGAAAAAACCTAAAGCCAACTCTGAAGCTGTTAAAGAAAAACCACCTAGAAGTGGGTCCAAGGAACGAAAGAAATCTAAAAGTCCATCCAAAAGGAATCGATTGCAAGAGCAGCTGAAAAAGTCACCAGCATTGCGGAGGCAATCCCCAGAAAAAAATATAAGGTCTAAGTCTCCCCCTGAGGATAGAGTAAAACCAAGAGATAGGAAGAAATCACCTGTAGCTACTGAAAACAGAACAAAAGATCGTAGTAGGAAGTCTAAATCTCCATTGCCATGGGGAAGCAAATCCAAAGAAAGGAGGTCAAGGTCAAAAGAGTACAAACCCAGAAGGTCCGACTTGGAGAAGGAAAAGAAGCCCCTTCCCAAGTCACCTTCAAAAGATGCCTCTTCTGGCAAAGAAAACCGCTCACCAGGTGTTCGCCCACCCCCCAGCCAAGAGGAAAGAAGTCTAACTCCCAATCAGCGTGAATGTAATTTTAAGCAAGGCAAATCCCCACCTCCTTATGATAGGAAAATGAAACCATCTCCCCCTCGAACACAGTCCTCCCCGAGGAGAGCAAAGAGCAAATCTATAGAAAGGAAAAGATGGGAACCTGAGAGAAGACGTATGTCTTCACCTAGGTAATTTATTTTTTGGTTACATTTATGAACTTGGTGATAAGTGGTGATGGTCAAATCATAATTTGACTTGATACTGGACAATTCACAGTTGAATGGTCAGTGGCAGTCCCTGAAGACTGGTGAAGTGACTTTACCACTGTTGTCGGCCGACCAGCAGATGCAATTCAGTCGATATTTCGAATTGTATCTGTTAGGAAAGCACTGATAGCGGTATTTTTTTTCCCCTACTCGCCGATACCGAAAGTCCCATTAAGGAAGCCAGGCGGCGTGTAATGACTCGCCACCTGGCTTCTCGATTAGCAGGGAAGCCGTCCCCATGCCTCTCGTCACTAGGTGATGAGGGAGCATGGAGCCCGCTTCCCAGCCAATCAGGATGCTGGGCAGCGTGTAATGACTCGCTGCCCGGCTTCCTGATACAGGAAGTATCGGGCTAGGCATCGGAGCATTTGGGCGAGTACTCGCCCAGATACTCTGCACCGATACTAGTATCGGTGCATCCCTAGTATATGTTAATAGCATAACATTTAGTGGCCGTTGATCTCCCGTGCAGACCCACTGAGGCAAGTGAGAATGTGGTTTGTTTTCTGCTACTCCAAATCCCATCTAACAGTAAACCTTTTGATGTTAGGTGGCATTATTTTGAAATATACATCTTTGTTAATTATAAACCGGACAGCAGAAAAACAGACTACATGTCAAATAAGCCTATATGACTGCTCCCATCTACATACATGATAACTAGCTAAAATTAAACACGCTTGAGTTCAGTGTGCTGCAGGTGAGGTGATTGGAAACAAAGAGGTTGAATTGCCAAGTAGTAGGAGAGTAAAATTTGCCATTACCTGTAACTTTAAAATGTATTTCCACTTTTGCAATCAAATTTGGAAAACATCCACTGTGTTTTGTTCCCATTCACACAACATACCTACAAATATTCTTTAAAAAAAATATTTCTTACCATTCTACTTGTTTTATGCTTATACTGTATATAGGACTGCATGCTTTTCTGGACAATTTCAAAGAGCATATAAAGGGACAAACTCGGGAAAAGTGCATTTAAATATAATGTACCACCTAAACCTTGAAAGAAGAACTTCAGGCAGAAGTGTCCTTAACCCTTGCAGTGGGACTACCCCCGCACCGCAAGGGCTAAGTGCTTGTTTTTGCTTTAAAAAAAAAAATGATACTCGCCCAAACCGTCGAGGTAGGTGTCTGCTTCTCCGGTCACTGAGGCCTCTCTCCTCAGCTACAGCATTGGAATGTTCCTCAGCATCCTCACATCTATTCACCGTGTATAGAACGTGATAACTTATGGGACCTTAGGACGCTGCAGCAGAGGGGGAGAGAGGCTCCAAGGATCGGTCTAAGAGCAAGAGGACTTGAAGGATCGGGTGAGCATAACTTCTTTTTTTTTTTTTTTTTAACCTAGACAAAAATGAGCCATTAACCCGTGCATTGTGGGGTTAGCCCCACTGCAAGGGGTAATACTTTTTTTTTTTCCGGGACTTCTGCTTTAACCCTTTATTAGGACATATAGTATTAAAATCTAGTTACAATGAACGAGATCTGCCAGCACAGTACAGATGGGATTAGAATTAGATTACATATGGTAAACAGCTCCACAGTCCTCCTTAACATTACATATCGGGAAAAGCTAGGAAGGATTTCAAGCAAGTAGAAATGTAAGCAGCAATTTTCAATATTTAAGTTAAGCTATGATTGGGAACATGTAACAAATATCAAATTTGCCAGTTTGGCTGCAGAAGTGAAAATACACTTTAACCCGTTGCCGTCCGCCCGTTGTGAAAAAACGGACGGATGGCACAGTTGCATTGGCGGGTTGCCGTCTCCAGGCGGCTTTTTTCTCTGCGCACGGGCAGAGAAAAACGTTCCGTTCTTTACAGCCGTTACCGACTGTTTCACATACATACGATCGGCGGCTCTATAGCCTGCTGATTGTATGTATGGGCTGTCTGGCTGCGCGCCCCGCCCCCCCCCCTCAATCACCGAGGACGCTAAACGGATGAGCGCAATTTTAAGGCTTGACATGTTTGGTATCTATTTACCCGAAGTGACCCTGTCTCTTATATTTTACCAAAAAATTGGGTAATAATAAATGTTTTATCATTTTAATATAGGGGAAACTTAAAAAAAAATTTGATAGTTTTTCCTTAATATATTCAAAAATAAAACCTCCAGTGGCGATTAAATACCATCAAAAGAAAGCTTGATCTGTCCCCAAAAAATGGTATAAAATTAATTTCAGTACAGCGTTGCATGACGGAATAAATGTCAGTCAAAGTACCGCAGCGCTGAATACTGAAAAATGGCCTGGATGGGAAGGGGGTTTAACACCGCGGACTTCAAGTGGTTAAACAGGCTTGAGTACTGCAAAACGGTTTGAGATTTTGAGGCTGATTTACTAAAGGAGTTGATCATTTTTACAGAAATTGTGGGAATATTTGCTTAAATGTGGATAGAAAATTCCTGTTTACCCGTCTCATCTGCACATGATTGGGTAATTGAATATTAACGGATGTTATTCCTTTAGAAAATCAGCCTGATTGTTTTTGAATTCTGAAAATTAGAAGACTGGAGATGTTTAAGCATATGCTCTGACCTTATTGGTTGCTGTTAGAATGTATGATACTAGTCAAAATTGGTATGCTGTATACCATGCTGATATCTTTTTACTATATACGAGTCCTTAAAGAGCAGATTGCCGGAAGCCTTGTATGCTCTGTAACTCCATGTGTAAATGTACCTTCCAATGGGGGCACTTTGGTGTTGGTTAGTCTCTGGAGATTCTGCTGGCTGGGGCCAGGTACTATTTTAGGAAGAAATTACAAAATGCTTACGTCTCATGTTGATGATTTTTTTATTTGGCAAAATGCCTCTGAGCTTTTCTTTAACTCCCACCCATGAAGGCCAGGCACCTATGGTGAGATGAGACATGAGGAATGTGGGGTAAGTCCCCGTTCACACCTAGGCATTTTGTTGCTCCAAGGTAAGTGCGACAAAATGCTCAAGACAAGGAATCCCATTTGCTTGTCTAGAGCGTTTTGTCACGCTCCAGACAATCTCATTAATTTCTATGGCCCCTGTTCACACCTGAGCATTTTGTCACAAGCAGAAAAACGCTGTCACCAGGAAAAGTACATGAGCTACTTTTTGGCAGATTACAACTCTTGGTCCCATAGACTTCAGTGGGAAGTCTTGTGTGACAAAACGTTCCGGTGTAAACAGGGGCCATAGAAATGAACGGGATTCCTTGTCTTGAGCGTTTTGTTACTCTCAAGACAGGCAAATGGGATTCCTTTTCTTGAGCTTTTTGTTGTGCTTAGCGCGACAAAATGCCTAGGTGTGAATGGAGCCTTAAAATAATTATGCTGAATGTGTTCAGGTTGACGTCGCTTGAACTCCAAAATGTGTTGTGTGTGAAGTTATGATTTTCCAAATTAAACCTTGGGAACCCTTTTAGGAAACCTAAAATTGCTAGTTGCCTGGTGGCCATGATGATCCTTTTGCTTCATTCATTTGCATCACTGACACAGAACAAATATGCAGGTCATAAGCCTAAATATCACTTGCTACTTGCTTGTTCTGTGTCAATGATTTAAGATAATAAAGTCAGAGATTCTGCATTCTTAAGAGGACATTGGTAATGACATTTAATTAATCCTTGGGGAAATGGGGAAAAAAAAGATGTCTGTGGTCCATTGTTGAATTTGTATGGGAACGTTTATCTTGTTTAATGTTCTTAATGTATTAAAGTTATTTTTATTTAGGTTGCGACCTAGAGATGAAGGGCCTATAAGACATGATAGAGCAAAAGAAATGAGTCCTCCTCGATGGTCTCCTTCTAGAAGACGTGCAAGTAGATCACCTCTAAGAAGAAGATCACGGTCACCTCTTAGGCGTAGTAGATCTCCACGTAGATGGAGCAGATCTCCTCACAGGAGGTAAGTAAATTGAGAAATTGAAATAGCTGCAGTTGGCTCTGATTTCAGTTAAATCCAATTTTGCTGTCCTAATTTTAAAGTAGAACTACGGCCTTCCAATAAAAAAATATATGCTGCAGCACTTAAAGAAGTATTAAGGTCTGGGCGATTTTTTACCTTAATGCATTCTCTGCATTAGGGTAAAAACGGCCCAGCACCTTTTTTTTTTTTTTTTATCCCAGTCCCCCCCACACTTACCTGTCAGCTGCGCTCATCGTCGCCGCCGGCCCGAAGTGATCCTCTGTTCCCCGAACTTCCGGGTTGATGGTAGAGGAGCCATAGGCTCCTTCTGCCATCAAATAGGGAAGGGGCGTGGCCTGTGAGGAAGTAGGAACTTTTAAAGAAAAACAACAGCCTCCAGCAAAGGAGCGTCTCCTTAAAAATAGGCTTTAATATCACTTTAATTATAAGTGCATCTGCACTTGGTTTCTTCTTTGTCCCCCTACAAAGGCAGAGCCCGCTGTCAATCAGCCACGGGCGTGGATCTTGACAGTATTGTTGGGATCCTTCCTGGCGGCGGCGCTCTCAGCATATAGCGGGCAATAGCCCACTATATACTCAGTTTTGGGTCACCAGAGAATAGTAGTATATGTCCTCCTGTGACCCTGAAGAGAACTATGGCCAAAAAAGGTTGGCCTATAGTTCTCTTTAAAGATACACTTTATAATTTAGACATTTACTCTACCTGGACGAGAACTTGAAGTATTGGAAGGTGGCCATTACCACCTCTGTGGCATTATATGAAAGGTCACACTACAATCCACAAAACACATGATCTTTCCATAAACATGCATGTTCAGATTAACTGAGCATACATGTTTATGTCCATAGAGGAGGTAGGAGGTAGACCACTGCTAGACATCAATGGTGCCAGTTTATCGCTGTGCAAAATCCAATCCAGTTTGAGGTGGAGGAACTTGACTGGCCTGACCTCAACCTGATCGAACACCTTTGGGATGAATTGCGAGACTGCGAGCCAGGTCTTCTCTTCCAACATCAGTACCTCACCTCACAAATGCGCTTTTGGAAGAATGGTCAAATATTTCCATAGACACACTCCTAAACCTTGTGGACAGCCTTCCCAGAAGAGTTGAAGCTGTTATAGCTGCAAAAGGTGGGCAACTCAATATTGAACCCTACGGACTAGGGTAAACGGTAAAGGCAGGTGTCCCAATACTTTTGGCAATATAGTGTACATACAGTAAATATATGTATATATATATATATAT